ACACACACACACATAATGGGAACACCAGACTCAACCACCGCCCTCATGATACTTGACAACACACCAGGACAAGGATGACAGAAAACAACAGACAATTGCACATGTTTTCACCATCACATAGGCATTTTCAGACAACCAGTTGGGTGGGGATAGCTCGAAGTAAAGTAACTAGATCCATTTTTGGATTAGTTTTTCACGCATCAAACAGGATGCAAGGTGTCTATGTTTGAAAGCTCATACTTTGTTTCTTCCTCCTGCTCCTTGATCAACCTCAACAGCAAGGCTTCCTGGCTTTGAACAACAACCGGTTGCATGGCCCGCTGCCAGAAGTAGTTGCTCCGCAGCTAGTGGTTTTGGCTTTACACAAGAATGAGCTGACAGGTGTGCTTCCCAAGAGCTTGCATTTGCTCAAGAAATTGGGTGTTTTAACTTTGCATGAGAACTCCATGTCGGGCAGCATCAATGATCTGAACTTGACTGTGCCATGCATGGACAATGCAAGGTTTCAACGTGGAGGAATGGGCTGTGAGCAGGTCAAAGCGTTGAGGTTGGTGGCGCCCAGGTACGTGCCAATGAATTTTGATGAATTCCTCTCCAACTGTCCGACTTTGTCCGGATGCTCTGACCAAGGTGTGGCCAATCTCACACTCCACCGCAACCGTTTCTCGTGCGCAGTGCCTGAACGCGTCAGCCGGGTGAACCTTACTGGACTGGTCATCATTGGTAATATGCTGGGCTTCGGTAGCGAGCTCAATTCGACTTGGATCCTGCCAGAAGAGAAGCAGTCATTCCTGTACTATTCCGATGAAGTTTGGAAGACCAATCTGTATCTTCTTTCAGCCTTCCTCATGTTGCTTTTCTTTGCCGTCCTGTGCCGGCCGCAGCGACGACGCAGGCTGCAGCAAACCTCGCGGAATTTGGACTTTGTTGGCACTGCTCGTGTGGCATCGTCCAACTTTGCCTTGCCACGAGATCGCGATGTGAGGCATAGGAGGGTTATGTACCAGCTGCCACCATAGTCGCAGGATGTCGCAGGTGTAGATGATGAATATATATCATATTAAATCATTATCCTAGATGTGTTTAGGCATCATGATGCATCATGTGTTAAGTTACAGTAATTGTTTACACCTGGTGTTCACTATGACTCTGAGGCATCACGATGTGATGCTGCCAACCATAGTTGCAGGTGTGGATGATCATTTTTACATAGACATCATAGACGTGTGACATGCTTCACCAGTGACATGCGCAACATGAAGATCAACATGCCTGGGCACAAGGGTTCAGAACTGTTCACTGATCAAAATCCTTGGGGGAAACATCCCATTCTGGGGACCCGACGAGAACGGGAGAGATAATGTGAGGATCCAACTCGAGAGCCACCAGTTCCACACCAGAGCCGCATGGTGTCCATAAACCGTCCTTCGGTGAGACTGCTTCTTCGCATACTTGTGGAGCGGAATCTAAGGTTAAAAGCAGCCGAAAGCACATTGCTGTTGGTCAGTCCACTTCTTTTGATCTTTTGGTTCAGAGGTTCTTACTATGAGTGCAGCCCCCCATTGTGGCAGCTCACCGTGGCCAACTTCCAAGCAGATCCATTGGCTGAATTTGGGATCATTGCCTGTTGGTGCGCCTTACTCTTGCTCTTTCGCTCTACTGTTCAAAGCATGCCGACCCACCCACTCCACCCATCCATCGCAACTGCTCACCGGGCACCGTGTGCTCCTCGATCGGCCTCGACTCCTCGGAGTTCAGGTCGTCTTTGGAGCGTCCCCCGGCACCGGTCGAGGGCCGGGTGGTGAAGTCGAGCCACAGTAAACACTGAACCGAGTGGAAACATGGGTATCAGCTTCAATGGGGTGGAGACCCCCCAACTCCCAACCGGTTTTGCGGCTTTGCTTCTTCTCGTATTCAGCTCGTATTGAGCTGAATACGAACCTCCCCAGCAGAGCGTGAGAGGTGCAGGAATCCAACCAATGGGTTTGGATGGTTGGATAGTCTATTTCCCTTTTTCAGGGGGGGTCGTTGGGAGGTCTCCCTGTTCACCTCAGTGTTCCACTGTGTGCATGCGAGGTTTCTGCGTGGCTGCTTTGGGTGGGCATGGTCTGCGCATTCTCGTTGCCATCCATCCTCTTCGCATTTGCTCAATGCTTGCCCGCGCAAAACACAACTGGTTTACATGAAGAAACTCTCAAGCTGATCCATCGAACTGCACCAGTGCTCACAGATTCTGGGTGGTGCTTGGAAGAACCACAAGAACCACCTACTACCTGATCCCCAATACGATGGGTGGTTCTGAGTGGTGCAAAACTGTTAGTTTTTACTAGCTGCAAATCCCACTCACGTGATGCTTTCCAGGTTTGTTTGGCCATGTTTCACGTACCCACCAAGATTTGTTTGGTCCCAAGATGGTTGGTGCCCCGCACAGCGGGGTTCGATTTTTAAGAGCAGGTCTTGATCGACATGGTTCTGGCGGTTCGGCTTTGCACGGTCTATTCCAGGCTCTCATCCTTGCATGCGGATAGGCTTTTGATGACCTTCCGCCTGTGTCGCAGCCGAGTGGTGTGGGGATGAGACAGACAGACGTCGCGGGGGAGGAGAGGGACTTGGCGCCATGGGTTGGGCAACACATCGAAGACGATTGTAAGCAGAATTCCATCCAAACCCATTGACCCCATTGGGAAAAGGACAAGCAGACAAAGCTTTGTACGGGCCATGGGTCTTCTTTGTTGAGCCACATCATCCAAGTGAAACAGAAACAGCTTGTTTGTCCAGTGAATTCAGTGTTTTTTTATGTTTTCGGAAGATAACACGGCCATGGACATGACCTACACTTGTTTTACTTTGCTTGTCCAAATGAAGTCAGTTTAGTTGGTGCACCATAGTATACCATGGTTTACCCATTTTAGATCTATATAGTCTATCCCCCAAAGATGTGTTTCTTTTTGGGTGACCCCGGGTCACTGAGGTTTTCTGCGTGGCTGTTGCCCTTGCTGGTCACCATTTTCTTGGATGATAATTGCCTTTCTGGCTGGAAATGGACTTGGACCGTTTGCAAGGCAGCATCACCCGAACACAAAAAATTTGATTGGAAGATCTACGATGAAGAGACGCTTGGGAGCACAACAGAGCACTCTGAGCACACGGATTTGAGTCTCCACCTCCCCAAAAGGAACACGAAACTCCCGGGTTTCGAGGTATGTGTTTTGTGCCCAGGCCGCTGTTTTGAGCAAATACAAGGATCTTAAACACCGAACGGGACATTTGCCAGTTAAGCCAGACCTGGTGGTGTGATGGCCGCTGTAGCCGTGCCATCGTGGGGAACTTGACCCCCTTCTTGCTTCAGAAGTTGCTCACACGGAGTACAATCCAACCACTCCTCCTTTTGCTGATGTGGCGATGTTCGCGCTTGGAGGAAAGAGATTTGCGGAGTGGACTGAGAGGACGTCATTTGAGACTCGGTTTGAGACATTCTATACACCCTCAAATGAATCCAAGCTTTAAGCCATTTAAGTGGCTTTATGCCATGGCTTTTTCAGTACCCAGACGCTCCATGTATGCCGTATATGCCTACATTGACCCCCCAAACCACCCCAATGGGGCGGCATATATACCAGTCCCATGGAGCGTCTGGGGTAAGTATCTTTTTGGAGTGGCTTTGAATCAGTGCTTTTTGCCCTAAACATCGTGGGCCCATCTCGTTCGCTTTTTGCGGGTGCGTTGTTCCCCACCTGCCAGGTGAGGGTTGTTAGATTGCATCAGAGAGAATGCCATGGTGGGGATCACCCGAAGCACATCGAAGCACCGTGTTTTCCTTCCATTTTCATTTGACAGCAAGAGTTTTCTTAATCAGTCAGAGCCCCAAGCAGAGACCCACCCCCAGAAGCCGAATAGGTTGGGTGCCAAGCAATTAGACACTTTGCCCTAGAAGTCAGTTCGACGATTTTGGGCACCACCGAAGGTTTCAGGAAATTCCCGAACCTTGGATTCATCGTTCGTCAGAGCATGTTTTTTCTCGTTGGCGCATCGTTTGGGGATCGTTTTTGTCAAGCCGTGGCCCTCAAGATTGCTCAGGAGATTCTTCAAGTTTGGACCCAAGACCACCAGCATGTTGCGTCCAGTGGAGCAAATGCCCCTGCTGACCACTCAATTGGAAGTCTTGGCCTTTCGGCCATTAGGCACCATTTTTGGACGGCTTTAGTGTCCCTAGTGCTTCAACCACTTCCGTCAGATCAAACGGCGTTTGGAGGGTCGACGGTCTATATACCTTTTGAGAAGGTCTAACAAAACACAGATGTGCTGCAATCTATATCTTCAACAAGTCAGCACAGGAGTCAGCATTGAAGCGTTATTTCTTGAAGTGAAGATACCTTGATCTCCACAGCTTCTTGAGGTCTTTTGGTCTCCACTGATCCCCTTGTTGAGCCTGGGCATCATGAGTGCGGTCACCGCGAATTTATTGCTTTTCGACTTGGCGGTGTGGCGCTTTGGTGTGAAGATGCCAATGGATGAGATGAATCAAAAGGCCACCTTGTCAAGGTGAGAAATCGGCTGAAACATGGAGTTGATATCCATGAACCAACAGCAGCTTCACTACTGCAAGCTCCCCCACTTAGGGATGGCGATTTATAGGAATATATAATATATATTTGTTTTTTTGTGTATACAAAAGCCATGGAGATGTTCGTCTCCAGCAAGACAAGAGGTGTTGAACAATTTTGTTGATCCTGTTTCGGCTGTTGTTCAAAAGGTCATATTTGAATTGGACTCTACTGAGTGGCAGTGGCTTCCAGCTTTGGCATGCCTTTGGCTCCGGGATGTGCGGGCGGTATTTCTTGTTGGCCTTCCACCTTGCCGTCCTGAACCCGTGGGCGACCCGCTTCTTGCCACTCCAGTGGGCGAGGCAGCACTTCTGGGCTGAGGCGGAGAAAGCCGTGGTCATGGAGTCCATTGAATTGGCTTCGCAAGGGTAAAAGATTCGCGGAGCCTTCCGGACGTGACACGTAAACGAAGAATTCAGGTGCTTTCTTCGCTTTCTTGCTGTTGTTACGGCCGACACCCTAGTTCATCCCCTTTGACCATGTTACGGCCCTCTTCAGGTGCTTTCTTTTCCTCCGCGGGATCAAGACGATGTTTCTGCTTCCTCCCCAGATGGGACACCGGCGTGACGGTAGCGGGGCGTGACGGTAGCGCCAGGAGACGAGTCCGCGCGAGGAGACTCGTGACCGTCGAAAATCATGGGTGACCAGCTGGTGAAGTTTGCTTTTGTGCCCAGGGTGTGCTTTTCTATTGTTAAAGTATGTTAAAGTCCTTATCTGACTATGAGGTTTGCTTGATTCATGGAACTCTGACCTGGAAATCTCTTTCAAAAATCCTGATTAAAACTCATCGATGTTGTTGCCCCAAGCAATTTTTCAAGGGTAGTGCACAAGCCCAGGGGAAGTGAATCGTAAGAATTGTTTAGGATAAGTGCCCTGGGAAAATATCCACGCCTACTTTTCTACCACCACTAGTACTACCACTAGTATTGCCACTACAGCTGCTACTACTACTAATAATACTACTATGCTACTATAGTACAGTACTACCAATACAGACTACTACTACTACTACTACTACTACTACTACTACTACT